TGTCAGTCAAGTGAATTATTGTCTTTAAATAACGTGATTATTGTGTGAGTTTCCATATGTACTACCAGTTATTTCAGATGCTAATTAAATTGACTAAGAAAAGGTTTCCTATACGCTTAAATGGCCATCTAGAAATACTTGTATTACATACATACTACATGCTTAGAAATGATCGATAAAGTGATCGCTAACTCAAAACTGCTTTCTCCTTCCATTCAGGTCAATCTCATAGTGTATTTAACTGAACGATTGAATAGGTTACATACTGCATGCCTATCTCAAGGCATTTCTAGTCGCATCAGATTAATCCAAAATGCAAACAGCTGATTAACTTTTTTTCTGATTGAATTCATGGTTAACAAACTTAAGACAGAGTTATATTTCCTACACCATATGAATATCAAATGTTGCGGCTGATGTCGCAGTGTATTATAAATAAATTGGTAAAACAATCTTCAAATAATTAACAAAGCTTGCTATGGTCACATATGAGTAGCTTTTTGACCATCTGAGTTACCGATATGACTTTTATTGGGAACCGCTTATTTAGTGATAAAACTAATAGTTACCAGTATAAAGATTTGGACAGAAATTATGGTTTGATACCAAACGGCACACATTATCAGATCATACGTGGACTTATGGGTTTTGTTAGTAAGATGGTCACAAAAGTGAGTAATAACCTGTGATTTTTCTTTCCAAAAGAAAACTTAACAACTAAAATGTCAGTTAACTACGGAATAAGTAAATAACTAGTGGAGTTTTTAACTTTCTTACTTAGTTCATATGATCCTCCCTCTAAGATTGCTTTTTGTGTATTAGCCAGGCAAATTCTTCCAGTGGATGAAAGAGTAGGAAATTTAGGCGAAAAATAATTGTATATTGTAAAATCGTTGCTAAACCAGTAGTCATGGTGACCAACTTTATACTTTTTATTCGAACAACATTGAAGCAATTCTTTAAAATACTTATTACATATGGATTCTACTTTATCTGTTGAAATATTGAAAAGAAAATGAAATCTGGTGTTATATCCTTCTATATGATCAACTTGTCATCATCGAAGTAGCGTTATTCTAAAGCACTGAACATGATGCTAAGCTCGAAGAAAGATTAAGATATTGGATCAACTAAACATATAAATATTAGTGTCTTCTGGTGTTTGTATGAAATCTGTAAGTTGCAATTGACCGTTACATTAAAAAAAAGTTGAGTGGATAGTAATTCACTTAGGCAGTCCATTGTATTATATCTCAGAGCTTATTATCTCAAAGTTTACTCCAATTTTGATGACAACACTAACAATGATGAAGATGCTTAGAATCAGATAAAAGATATGATAATTGCAGCTAGTTAAAGTAATAACTATCATTATTTGGCTTGTATTCATACATATGATAATAATAAGAAGAATGCAGTTTGAAGAGGCCTTGTTAGTTGATCAGAACAAAAATTAGAAAGGTGTGGATTAATTCAAACTACTCACAAAAGATGGCTACTTCTTCATCATTTTAAACAAGACTATATCATGGTTATATCAGAAGGTGGTAGTTTGCTGTTTATCAATGTTAATAATTATGTGTTGAGTCAACGCGCATATCTTAGTAATTTTACATTTTTAAATCATAACTAGACATGTTAGTTATACAAGTTGGTTAATTATGCGGTAAGATTATATAAATTAAGCAACAGGATGAATGATATCATCAAACAGATGAATATTCACTGCAATAATAAATGATAAATCTTGATCGCTTATTCTTTCACTGTCATGCTTTGTGTGAAATCGACATCAGCAAAAGAAACACTGAATATTATGTAGAAATGAATGATATTTTTGCAGTAATTAAAAGTGATTAAATGAATTCGATCGATAAGATCTAATCAGTCATGAATTTGTAATCAGTAGAATTACTCGCTTTAAAGGATATTAAGAGATAAAATGTGAATGATAATCAACATTATCAAAATCATTTTCTTATGTATAAATGTGGAAAAATCAACTTATATTATGAAAATGACTAGACCTTTGCCCGATTAAAGTTTCATCAAATGAACAAATACATTGTGTAAGTAGATATGTGTTCAAGATCGTAATCAAGTAAAAGAATCCTAGACTACGTGACAAACAGTTATTTGGTTCTGTGAATCTAGAAACCATACTTTGATGAACAATATACTCAGCCTCTTATCTACTTGATCAGATATTTGGTATATAATGCCTTTCCTTTCAGTGACATACAATAAATTTTCAATCAGGAACGTTAACGAAAGTAGCTTATTGTGTAATAACAAGATGTTATTCTGGGTTTTTTTTCTCTGATTTTATACTCAGATAAAAGAACTTCTTTTCCCTAGGGTATCTCACCACTGTTTCTCTCTTATCTTTTTGCTTAAGGTTATGTTACTCCAGTGAACGAACACCAGACAGTTACAAACACTCTTAAATATTTATCAGCACAGATACAAGAGTAATAAGTCGGAGAAAGACAAAATGTCCTAGTATAGCGCCAATCTCTGTTCATCAAATATTAATTAGTAGGTTAACGAGAAGAAAGGTTTTTATTTAATCGTTACAATCACTGACTGAATGTTGTGAAGTGAAAAACAAGGGTACAAATTGTTTACTGTACATTCGGTTGGCCAATGTAACGGTATATAACTCCATAGTTATTTGACTACGTTTATTAGCTGGAGAAACTTCTGTATCATATGGGCGAATCATGCGAAAACATTATCTGAATTCAGATTAACATTGCTGTAAAGTTATAACTTGAGCAATTTGATGAAGTTCAATGGGAAGCTCAGTGATGCTTTGGAAGGGAAGACAGGAGTAAAACAAAGCTGTCTACTATCACCCATGATATTCCTGATTGTGGTGGACTAGATCATGGAACAAACAAAGAGGAGCGAGAAGAGCGGGATACGCTGGACCAGCGAAAAGATGCTAGAATGTTTGAATTCCGCCTATGACTTGTGTCTAATGTCACACAAACTTGAAGATCTACAGGCAAAATCCAACAAGTTGACAGGAGAGGTGAGGTAGGGAAGATGGGACTTCAAAGAATGTAGACAAAACAGAGGTGGAGATGATGAAGATACCCAACAAACGCCACCACCACCACTAACAACAACAACAAGCACCAACCACCATGAACGAGAGAAACCTAAAGGAAGTAGTCTGTTTCACCTACGTAGGCAGGCAGCATCATTTCAACTACAGGCAGCACAGACGTAGACTTGAAGGTCAGAATCGGAGAAGCAAGACAGGCATTCATTAGCCTGAAACCAGTGTGGAGATCTTCTGCACTCAGCATAAAGAGTGAACAAGATCCGGATTTTCAACACTAATGTCAGTCTAGTCAGTGCTTCTATGTGATGTTTCCGAAACTTGGCGCGTCACGAAAAGCATTCCCAACTAACTTCTGATATGCATCAACAGCTGCCACCTATTCTCACTCGACATTGATGATCAGATTAGATGGCTGAGAAGAATAAGCAGCAAGGAACCCTGGCCTGTTAAATCAAGCATTTGTGTACAGAAAGAGATGATAGTCATTTCGGAAGTGGTGCTGAAGTATTTCGGACTCATCTAGTTTTACTAATGTCTTGTTTTCAATTTTATTTCTTCCTCTGCTTAGTATATTTACCTCTTTGTTATCCTTATTCTGACGCACTGTCATTTCCTCTTGAACTTTTTCGCTTTATAGTCGAGTGACTTATCCTCATAGCTATTATCATCATTATTGTCAATGCTGACTGGCAACTAGTACTCTAGCTCCTTTCGGTTTTTTACTGTAACTGAGCCTCTTAAGTGATATTTATATTCAGCTGACATCAGATGGGGGACCACTGAAAAGCTCGGAGCACTGAACAGCTGTTTCGTCTTAGTATGGGACTCCAGTGTACACCCCCGAGCCAGCTAGGGATCGAACTCAAGACCTTCAGGTTTCACGACGAATGTGGTAATCATTCATTACCATTATAATCCTTCATTCATATTATCATTATTATAATCAATATTTTTGTTTAGCTAACACCTATGGTTCTTTAGTGTGCACCTCTATCAAGCTATCTAGTTGACAATTAGCTTCTCCGTTCAAAATGATATAATCCATCCCTAGTACTTCTGTTTTTCGTTATCTATTTGTTACCCTCTGCAACCTAGCCTTAGTTCTATTTGACCTAGTTAAATTATTCATTCTGTGTTGCCATGCTTTATTTAGTGCCTTAGTCTGTACTTCGGGCTTATGTGTTTCTCCACTGCATAGCATTATATATGTAGAGTAAAAAGCTGACAAGTCCTACCGAAATTTATGAAGTTAATAAATTCTGCTTTATTAATGTTTTCTGCTTGTTTTGATCTTCAATCAGGATACAAATGTTTTCGATTTCATGTTCAGCGTAATATCTGGAAAACATCTAAATGAACTTAGAAACCATGTTTATGTTCACAAAGTGAATGATGATTTACACGTAATATATACGGATTAATTATATTAACTGATTGCCCATACCTTGGTTGGTAGAGTATGACTTTGACGGTTTCTCCATCAACTGTAGGTCGAGCTCCTGGACTAATGACTCACAGCTCTATGATTGCTATTTGATGGCTAAACTCCCTATAATTCGAGTGATACGCAGCATTTAAGTGATATCTGCTCACTTTGTTAAAGCCAATAACCCGCCGCATTTCAGTAATATACACAAACTTGAAGTATTGCTACTAAGGTTACTCACTGCATCGACATTTGGACAATGGTTATATAATAGTGATAATAATAATGATACATTCATTAAAAGAATTTTCATTTCAAGTTTTTATACAAATCTAATCTAGCAAAAATTAATAAATGTTATTCAATATTAGGAACAAGAGCAACAGTTACAAAGGGAATACATATTTGTAAAATCTTAATGAGTTAATTTAGCACCTATTTACTGACAGAAGTAGTTTAACATTCCATCTTCTTTCTGCATCTATTTCTGATATATTTTAGACCTGGACTTCGATGGGGTATACCCCTGGGTGTGATTGTCACTATCATAGTATTCTTGACTGTGAGTTATACAATTCAAGTGTTTCGTGCTTGTGATAGATGTTATCATGAATGTCCAATATTCACTCCAACACCAAGTAAGTTACTCTTATTGACATCAATATGGTCTTTATTATCAAGAATGTTCTATAAAGAATCATATTTATATAGTATCAACCAAAAGATATAATCGAGGTTAAATAATCATGTCAAGTTAATTTTTGAATGGATGGATAGCCTCTAAATTATCAAGATCAGTTATAATTCAAATTTTTCCATCTAAGTTATATTTTCAGTGAAATTATCAGATTTTGTACTCAGATGTTATATAAATGATGAAACAAATAACTGTTCAATGTTCAGTTCAAATTAAGAAGAAATGGGCGTTTTGGATTCCATTGGTAGCCACTATTCATCAATAATATCAAACAATTGTTTGTCGATTCAGCTTGCGGCTACAATATATGTCCACAAGTAGACATAGTTTGGTCAGTTCATTGTAGACTTTAAATAACAGGTTTCAAGAAGGATTTGATGTATTTAAAATCTCACAACCAGCAACCACTGAACAAATAATATCACTCTGAATTAGTTACTTGTCTATTCGCTAGTCTAAATATGAATTTAGTAAGACTAAAACAGAGCAACTAATAGGTGATGATCACTTGGTCTATACAGGATACTTTTAGCTGGAAATACTCACCAGTCTATACAACGATAGTAACTGATATCTTAAATACCCTAACACTAAGTAACATACAAATAAAGCCTACAAAACGGACTATCTTAAGTGGTCATATCAATGAATCCATATAAGAATATTAACGCATAGCTTTCCATAAGATTTTATGATTTTTGATGACATTAGATTATTTAATTCTAATAAATAAAATTTCTCTTTTATCAATAAACCCATAAAAATTCAAATGAAAACACTAAGATGAAAGAAAAACACTTTATCACACTTTAACTGACACTTACAGTACTTCATCCTTCCAATTTCTCATACTTATACATAGACGTAAATAAAAATAAACCAATAATAGTTATTGAAAAAGCTTGAATAAAATTCTAACCAATATTTATCAGCTAACAAAACACTTGTTTGGCACAAGTGGACAACAAATATTTATGCTAATTTATAAGATGAGAAACAAACCAAAATTAGGCTGCAAACAAAATAGTCTTAACCTAAGACATGCTTGTTTATATAGTATTACATACAGTAGACGATATTTCACGCCGATTTTATGGAGAGGCAATGAAACTATGATGTTCAAACTATTTTCTAGTCACAGATCTTCATAATGTTTTGCTTGAAATGATACATAGATTTGCCATCTATTTGTATTAAGTGCCTATATGGTGCTATAGCATAAAGAAGGACTACATAAGCGAAGTTTGTAGGTTCTCTGAATGATTGCATATCACTGAAGGTGACGAATAATCTTTTAAAGAATTCTGAATGATATCAACGTTTCATCGAATGAAAGTGAGTTCAGGGCTTGAATGGAGAAAAAAAGATGACTGGAGCAAAATAACATGGAACCGTTTTACTTCTCCAGTTACACCTACAAACTAGTTACAACCTAAAAATATTCAACTATCATTCTATGAAAGAATTAGAACTCACGTTTTCTCAGTAACATGGGGTTACTTAACAGAGAATAACATGGTCTAACAGAGAATACAAACATCCAGATTAAGTTAGCAAGACAAATTCGGAATTTTCAGTTATACATGTATCAATGGAGAGTTTGATAAAGAAATATAGACAGTAATTAAAGATTACGTAACAAGATTAAGAAATTGGCAAACTGATGATAAAGGACAGACAAATTATGCAACTTCCTACAATTAGTCTCCCTTTATAAATTTCTTAAGAGCAAAAACAATAAATATTGTGGGGTGAATCGGGTTCATTTCGTGTGCTCTAAATCTTCCAAATACCCATCAAATTTAAAGTTTTGTACAGTAAGCTATCAGTGCTCAGCATAAGTTACTTGATATATTTTGGTAGAAAACAACACTAAATACATTTTCTAAACCTAAACATCAATACATATGTACATGGGAACATAGATGAATGAGAAAGTTCATGATCTAAACAATCAATTTAGGGAACAAGTCACAACAAGTCAGACTTTGAAATTGATTAGTAAACACAAGTTTAGACAACTAAACATCAGAAAGATTAATAATATACTTTAATGGCCTTTTTAGAAAACATTCTTCGATCTATTCTCCAAGCAATGATTTGCACAATTCAGTCTCTGTTTGTGAATGAATACGATACTCCATACTTCGACAAAACTTGAAGAATTTCGTGCGACAAAATAAGTTTAACACACCTAAGGTTGATTTGTTATGACTGAATGCGTCCTGTAATTCACCCAATGTGTTATCACTAGTCCCTAAGGTGACGTAAATTCCTACAATAAGGAGGTAGCTTCTGCCGGCGTAGTTGATTATAATAAAGTATGGGAAAGGTGTTGTCATGTAGACACTTTCTCAAAAATGTAACACGAATACATTCACGTATAATTTTGCATCTTATCGTTACTAAATTATTCAGGGCTCAAACCGAATTCCCCGGGGAGACGAGATTTTAAAAATTTCACCCAATTAGTCCCCTTTAAAAATTTTTGAAAAGCAAGAACAACAAATATTGTGGGATGAATCGGATAAATCGGCAACAAGTCACGTGAAGTCAGACTTTAAAATCGATCGGTAAACACAAAGTAAAATATGACATGACACCAGTACAGAAATGTGATTACACCCTCAAGGTGGTAAGAATTCTAATTCTTCCATTGGAATGCCCTGCTTTGATAAGATGTTGATTGGCTGCACTGCTGAAAGCACGTTTCCCTGAGTCGTAGGCTTTTGGGAATATGTTCAGAGAATCTATGGTATGCGTTTCTCTCTTTCTTATGGATGTTGTTGCTACTGCTGATGCATTTTCGCTAGCACGCACAGTCAGAAGATAAATGGGGAGGGAACTTATTCACTTTCAACTGCACCGAACAGCATGTTGTTTGTAGTGAGCGATTAACTTGGCTCCAGAATGTGTTATGTTGAGCACAGCTTTCAGCCCTCTGTTACTTTTTTCAAGGAAACCGTCAACTTCTAGAGTTGCGTTCATTGAAAATAAACTTCCTGCTTATTGTAATTTGCTTTGATTTATTGACTGAAAAACTTTCCCATCTATTGATAAACTTATGTGGGTAACAGTTGTCTCAAAAGATCATTTCAATGTCAAGTGTAAGTTCTTCCAATTTATGACTTCAGCATATCCTCTTAGCTGTACAAAATAGTGTTTTAACCAGTAGTAGTTTAAAATTGACCAGAGAGAAGCTGTTAAAATTTATCTGGTGCAAAAACTTACATAATGCATTCTACTAAATAGAACTCTTCAATGATGTTTGTAAAACTGGGGTATAGGGACGCGTGCACTTAGTATCTGAGCTGGTTGTAAGTTGCGAAAATAAACAATGTCGTCTTGACGTGTGCAACAATCTTTTTGAAAGCAGGTTATAGAGACGTTTTTGTACGTCAGTCAGCCAAATCAGTCAGTATCAACATAAGACCTAGCATTATTCCGTAGCGATCTGAGTTGCTATAAATCATATCGACACATTAAGCGACAGTACACAGAGATGGTAGATGAAGAAATAAAGGATAAAAAGATCAAAAATGGTAGAGTCACCACAAAGAGCAAGAAGGAATCACACAATGTTGAAGTTCAGTATGATGATTTAGATATAGACAAAGCTTGGGTGCATCTGAGCCACTGAGGTCGATTCTAAGCAATATCACCTAAAGTCTTCAGTCACTGACTTCCATTGCCAAGCGAACTCTTGGCGGAAATTCTGCATTTCCCTATATGAATTAGATAAACAGTCAAAGATTTTATGGACTAATGCGGCTTCTAAATACTCCCACTTCGAAGCTACGTTAGCTAACATTGCATGACGAGGCAGACGGTGACCAGGCAAGCGTAACACACATTTCAGCAATCTGAGTTAATAATGGTTCACAAACCTATCAACTGACTTTTTTCCTCTGCTTGAAACTCGACAACACTCTTCTATGTTAATGGCAGGGCGATGTCACGAAACTTGACCCATGATACGAAAGCAGCTGTGATGAAATATCTGAAGCCTTTTCATGTCCGCTACTTCTAATGACCACATTCTACTGCCACACAGTGGAACAGAGCAAGCTGCAATGCAATACACTTGACCCTCAATTGACGATTCGATGTGGTGCCAGCTGTATGAATGGTGTGAGTTTGTGAAAGAAAAGAGAACCATTAGTATGCGTGCAGAGATTTCGTCGGCCACCAGGGCTGATAAGAGTTCACAAGCAAGTGAAGTGATCAGTGCACTCGACCACTTCATCAAACAAGGTATAAGCAAAGGCTAATCCCCGAGTAACAGTTTGGATATAGGTAGTAAGAAACGCGTCTGAAGCACTCACAAAAAGCCACTCAATTTGTCCAGAAGACTATCCATCGCGTCAACATATTCACCTTAGAATGTTATGTTGTATGCCCATTTTATGTCTACTAAGGTGTTTCATGCGAACAGATTCATCCCTGTAAACTCCGACAGTGCTAGGGAAACCTCTACAGGTACGTCTCTGAAAAGATTAAATGAGAGTGGAGATGGTGGGCATTCTTCATGGACACTACTCGAGGTACACGACTGATAACATATGCCTTGACATGACAATGTGTGTTCGTAAACAGACTTTTCAAGAGATTGACGTACTTGCCTGGTACCTCTTTCATCGAAAGACACTGTCAAAATGCCTCTCTTTTGATAGAGTCAAATGCCACTTTCAGAGCATAATGCAGAGTGAATACCTGATTGATACACTCATGACCAATTACTAAACCTGTTTACTTTTCTTGGATTCTGTTTTTTTGAGCTTTCTTATACGTTGTATAATTACAGACTCTGTAATTTTATGGACTATATTCGTCAGACTGACTCCAATACGGTTCTCTTCAGAGATTTCTTCACATTTTTAAAGACCAAGACAATCAGCAGCTTTAGGAGGCGATAGACACTATTTGTTCGCTCTTCCAGCCTGGGTTCCCAAAGTGCCACCTAAGCGCCCATCTGAAGCCTTATCCATTTGCTTATTGAAATCGCCCACCAGGACAACCATATTTGAACTTTTGAAAGAGAAACGAACAAATGATCTACTTATTTTAAATAACCAAAGTGATCCGTCATCATTTAAACGCACAAGAAAAGAGGAAACAAGATAACCTAGGGTTGGAAATAGAAATTGATTACAATTTCAAAAGCGTTTTAACTTGACACTTTTGACTTCACTGTAGCTTGCAACTTTATTACATTATAGGTAAACACAAGGGGGCCCAGTACATATTTCTCAAATATTGTAAGGGATATAAGTTTGTGAATGTCTGAACCTGAATCTAATCTACATGAAATCTGTTGCTTTAGTAAATACCACAACCTCTTCTTCTACTTACACTCAACAGTAACAAAATAAAGACGAATGAACGTTTCAAAAGATGCTGATTTATTATAGTTTCATCTAACATGAGAACAGGTATGAAAACAAGTGCCTAGAAAATACTGTTGCAGAATGGCAACGACACTTCATTCACTTTAGACTACTTAACACACAGTGAAGTCACTAATGATGAGTTTTACTTAATTTCACTATGATAATATTCTTTTTTGTAGCAATAACTGATGTCGTTTAATTAAACCAACAAAATTGTTACAAAAAACCTACTTTCATGCATTTTAGATGATGCTGAATTTCAGTGGGATACACGTGAGTTTGTAATTGATATTCATCTCCTTTGTCAATATCTCATTTATTGGATACAAATAACAAACAGTTAGTCCCTATCATCGATTTCGATAGTGTAATTAGAAGATGAGCAATGCATTTCAAACAATCTGATCACAGATTTACTTGTGAAGTCAACATATATTAAACCGAGAACTGCCGGGGGAGACAAATACAACAATTATCACAATAAAGGATTAAAATTAGGAAAGACGAGGACAAACAGGAAGTGACACAGTTGATTCAAATCTTGGCAAGAAAAAAATTTTACCAAAGTAGGTCTAGTGTAAGAACAAATTGCTTTTTTATACATAAGGATGGATTCAATTTGCATATGACTGTGGCTTCCACAAAACTCTGTATAAATCCCTGACTGTTTCTATATAAAACTTTGAAAGCTGTTTGAACATTATTCTTGTGACCTGTTTCTATGATATGTTTAGCTATAGATGAAGACGGTCGTCTCCCACCAGTGTTTATCACGGTTTCACACTCCATTTGTTTTGAAGCCATTTAAGTACACTTTCTGCTACCCTCAACTGCATGGCTTCATTACTCCTCCTATGTATGTATGACCACACACATGTACATTGGTAAACACAACGGGATGTGGAGTAGTCTTTCTTGATTTTGATCCACTAGTGTGGTAATTATTGTATTTGTTCTCCTGCTCTTCAGTTTAATATGTATTAACTTGATAAATAAGTATGTGATCAGACTGTCTGAAATGTATTGCTCAACTACACCACATTATTCAGATAAACGTCATCTTCTAACTACACTGACATATTTTGTAGAACTAGTAACTTTATTAGACGGGAGATGGACTCGAGACTTTTACGTTTATTTCACAGTATACAAAAGCCTATTGTGGATTTTAGTCATATAATAGACAGTGTCTCAACTTTTAGAGTGACTAGAGTTAGATTTCAGTGTAAAACTAAGTATGAATGCTCAAATGCACGTATATTCATCTTTTAAGGACCATTTTAGCCGATATATTAGTTAGTCACTGGTAAATTTAATTAAAATATAATCAAAACACAAAAAATGCATACTTTCAACCTATTTATCATCATATTTAGATCGATTCTATCGAGTATGCCAACACAAAGAAAGTTACAGCTGAAACTTTACTAGTTTATATTCTGTCAAAACTCATTCGCTAGCAAAACTGTCTGGAGTAATAATGAAATCGAAGTTAGATGTGACAAAGCATACAGAAACTAAAAATAACCTATTGAAATCACTTCATATGATGTCTGTTTGCTAGGCCAGTGATAAAAAGTTATTTTTAAGCTTTACTTTAGCACTCTAAAAAAACCTTAGAGAATTAAGCTGATGATATTAATTGATATTCTTAATAAGCAAAGGACAAACTTTTCCAAGTCTCTGATTAATATGAAGGACTGGAAACCTGCAGTCGCTCAACACCGTTTTACCTTAATTCCGAACAAGTGTTTGACCAATACCCTATACTCCTGGAGCAGAAAAATGGAAGGAAGCGTCATAAAGATAAGGACTATACCAGTAACTTTCTTTAAACTCACTTATCACCTCCAATAGCTATAGAAAGGTGGAAGCGATTACAAACCTTAGCTATATGGTCATAAGAGTTTCGTCAACGATTTCAATGTGATACGAACTTTGTTCACCTACATTTCATGATCTTTTTAATTCACAAGTTCAATGGTTAAGCTTCATATCGCAAAATAAAATAATTATTTTAACGATTATTATATCCATGCGCTATGCGAAAAGGTTTGAGAAGTCATCATTTTATGGTGGTCTTAAGGTTCTATACTCATTATATTTCCTCATATAAATTTTCATCTAGGCAATGAATATTACTGAGGAGCATGCTGACTTACTCAAACTCAAATACTAGTGAGAAGCAGTTCACCTGCATTATGCGAACCACTTTCAATGATTTCAAATACTAAGATACAAGATTTCCCCCAACAAAATACTCCTTAGGCCCTTTTTTCTCGATTTCTGATATTTCATAGACTAAAAATTCATATCCTTTCGCATAACCAGTACAATGCAATCACTGATGTTTCTCTTACTCGTAGGTTGGTACACAGTATCACATGAAGGCAATCGTTATGGAGTAACATTTCACAGTCGATTATTCGCCAATGAATTTATGAAATGTCTAGAAGCTAAATATGGTCGATGGAATACAGCTAACATATTGAAGATACAACGAGATGGACAAAATTTTGTAATCCTCAATATATTTTTTCATGATCTTTTCACCCCCTGGTTTTATACACAAGGACCGATAAAAAATGATGAAGAATGGATCCGTACAGATTTTAAAAATATTTGCCATGCTGTTCAGAGTAAGTTGAACATGAAATAGATACAATTTATTCTATCAGAAAAAGATCAATTGCCAAACCATAAAAGTTATTTATCAGAGAAACAAACCAAGTATTTTGTGAAAAAAAGGTCAGTATAAGTTTCAGTAAGCACACAAAAGACCTACATTCACATCGCTTACAGGCGTGTAGATTTCCGAACATTAGTCAAGCCGACTGCGTTCATACATCAGGGAAAATTTATTTGGTTCATCATCTCTTCAGTAAACTCTATGCAGTAACAATTTGATTGTTTTCTATGTCTAACACTTAATTATCACTAGCAATTTATGCTTTTGCAAGAAATTCTTTCACATAACCCGGAAATGAAACATTTTTATCTAACGAAAAAGTAATACTTTTAGGAAACAAATGAAATCATAATTCAAAAACAGTTTCGTCGTTCGACTTCTCAACTTCAGTACAGTGACAAAAGCTAATTAAGTGAGTAGACAGCTCAAATTAAATTTCATAGAGCAATTTACTGATGAACATTTACTAAACCAAGTCTTAGAAACTGAGTATTTGTTGATAACCTATTTATCTGTTAAGTTAAACTAAACTGCACTTAAATCTAAAGTATACAAAGTTATTGTTTCCGTATTTATAAAGTCTATTTTGAACTGAAAATATGCCTAAAATATAAAACTCAACTTTCTGCGAAGAAGAAGAAGAATTATTCCTAGGACATTTTAACAAAAACGTGAACATTATTATGAGTAACTTAAAAAGCAAGGGAGCGAATCTTCTAATAATCACTTTATAAGTGGAAGGTATCCAGACAAGACGTCACCTATGCATTATACAAAGGAAGGATCCCATGAAAATTCACCAGCATTCATATTTATACACTAGCAATAAACTAAGACTGACATTCTATTTGAAGGACTATTGATCAAACTTTTGCCTACGCTCGATACTGAAGATCAGATGAGAAGGCCAGAAAGAATAATTAGCAAAGAATTCTGACCTGCCGACGAACCAACGAAGCAGGAACCTATCACCCAACAAATATGCAGAGGAAGAAAGTGGAGATAGATTGGGCACACACTGAGAAGACCGAGTGCGGATATCACTCCCCAGGTCAGACACTCGAGTGGAACCCAGATGTTGTTAGAATATCAAATAAGAACTGATACAGAAGTCACTTGAATATAATATTTGTCATCTAGTCTATAAATCAAATCATTTGCTCTCTGGAAATTTACAAAAACTGATATCAATATTCAGCGAACAGTGTCACGAAAAACCATCTAAAAATAGATGCATATACCTATAGCAGTCTTCCACAAGAAATGTAAGAATATGGTAACTGGGGGGCAAAAGTCATCCAAAAACGTATTTTACAGTTTGTTATTTATGAGAATTGTTTAAATTTGGGTTTTCCATTGAACAAAGACTTAATTTTTGATATGTTCCATGTTTTTTTCAAAGGATAAATAACCGAATGACAAAACATGATCATTTTGGAAAACCTGTGATTAATTTTTTGCCTCTAAATTTACTTTGTTTTATTTTTCATTAAAACAGCGAGACTGGCTGTCAGCCCACGTTTCAATTGGAAGTTTAGCAGATCATCAGACAAGTCAAGAAATTGTAAGCCACAAATCCAATCTCATCTAACAATGTCTGATATCAATTCAAATGTAACTTCAAATTTTCAATCAGGAGATAAACACTCAAGTCAACTGACAACTAATACAACAAGTACTACCACACCATGGACTCCATGGACTAAGGTGGCGTATATTCCATCGGTTACAGAAACTTCAGTTAGAAAACATCTAACTCGTAGTACAAATAAGAGTAAATATAAGCAAAAAACTGATAATAAAAACTCTCAAATGGTAAACGTTATCATATTAGAGGACATTATCGAATGTAATGGATTGGATAAAGGTGTACAAACACATCAGAAAAGATTAAAAACAAACAGAAAAACAATTGACACCATAGTTTAGTTCAGACATATTGTAACATATTTTTCAATAAACAATATGGGTACCAAGAAGTCAGTTAATAATTCACATATAATTTGATCAGAAAATATATGATGCCCTGCCAAAGCATCATAGTGATTTATAACCATTTCAATACCTTCAATAAAACTGGATGATGAATTTAATGTATCAGGAAAGTTTAAAACAACTAAATTTTTTTGAAAATTAATAAAATAAACTACAACAAGAACATACACACATGCTGAATTATTTCATATAATATGTAACTAAAAATCAAACCATTTTATTAGTCTGATAACTTTATGTTATAAACCCTACATTTTAAAAATAAATTATATATTTGAATTGCTTAAGATATACGAGTTTTTAGTTTTGCAATAAACAATCTGCTCCTGAAAGCTACGAAAGCGAATAAACTTGATTCGGTCTATGAAAACTTATATGGAAGTTTTTTTAGGCTGCTTAATAAATAACTAGATATGTAAATTTTGTAAACCTACAATGCTTCCGGTGATGTCAAGCTGATAAAAACTAGTCCTTAGGATTATGTGACTAATATTATTATTATTTGTCACTTGGGTTCCTAGTGGAACACAAGCCTCCAGTAGCACGTCTCCATTCCACTCTCTTATCAACAATCTTCTAAACCTAGCTCCACCACTACCCACTAACTCTCATTTCTTCCTCACAACATCTCCTCTGTGTCACCATCACCTCGGACACCCAACTCGCATCTCGGTTTCACATCTGGGTTCCACTCGAGTGTCTGACCTGGAGAGTGATATCCCTGAATATTTTTCTCAGTGCATGTAGAATTCATCTCCACTTTCTTCCTCTACATAACATATTTGTTGGGTGATAGGTTCCTGCTTCGTTGGTTCGTTGGCAGGTCAGAATTCTTTGCTAATTATTCTCTCTGACCTTCTCATCTGATCTTCAGTGTGGAGCAAGCGTAGGCAGCAGTTGTTGATGAATATCTGTAGTTTGTTGGAAATGCTTTTCGTGATGCGCCAAGTCTCTGAAACATCACACAGGAGCACTGACTGACTTGACTGACTTAGTGTTGAAAATCCGGATCATGTTCACACTTTGTGCTGAGTGCGGTGCAGTGCAGTGCAATGCAGTGCAGTGCAGTGCAGTGGAGTAGATCTCCACACCAATTTCAGATCAATGAAAGCCTGTCTCGCTGTCCTCGCAATCCTGGCTGCTTTCACATCCTCATCTGTACCCTTGCCGCCTGTAGGTGGAACGATGCTGCCTGCCTACGTAGGTGGAACAGACTACTTCCTTTAGACTACTTCCTTCTCTCCTTCATGTTGGTTGGTGCTTGTTGTTGTTGTTGTTGTTGTTGTTGGTGGTGGTGGTGGTGGTGTTGGTGGCGTTGGTTGTGTATCTTCATCACCTCCACCTCCATCTTCTCTACATTCCTTGAAGTCCCATCTTCTCTACCTCAACTCTTCTGTCAACTTGTTAGTTTTCGTCTGTAGATTTTTGTGTTTGTGGGGCATTGGACGTTAGTCATCAGCGAAATCTGAATCTTCTACTGGTGTCTTTTCCCCGGTGCAGCATATCCCCATCTTCTAGCTCCTCACTATTTCCTGCATGAGCTAGTCCACCACAGTTATAAAGTGTGTTCCCAGAATTTTGAGACATTTTCAATTATTGGTCAAGTATCAATCAAATGTTCACTAGATTACTACTTAATGTTTGTGTCCACAGTTTCATTCTGCCTGTCACCGATATGATATCACTTGAATAAATGCATATTTATCCAAAATCGTGATATCAGAAACTTAGCTATATTCCTGATAGAATCAGTACTTGACAACGAAATATGATACGAAAGTTTAGCTGATTTCTCAGTGGGTGAATGATACTATACTGAACCAAGGACTTTTACGAAAGCAAGTTAAATTAACATTACTGAAAACGTTTGCAAAGTCGAACGAAAATTCGAAATCGTGAATAAAAATGCACTACGAAATAACTTTCGAAAAGTATCACTTGTATGTTCTGTTAACCCAATATCCGAAATCTATTTCTGTAAAAACAGTTGATAAGCAACTTAAGAAGCATTGATTGAGAAACATCTATCCAACTTGACAGTAGTACCGGTTATGAGTTGCACGTCTTTAGTTAATTATCCTTTTATCGTTAATACCTGGGATTTTTGCAGTACTCTACATAAATAATGCTAAACCTTCGTGAACCTAATTTTCTCATGATATGCTCAAATAAACTGTATCTTTATACTCCTTTTTCACCAGTGTATATTTTAACAGAACTTTACTTTTTGACAGCGTCATTTACCAAAGTTGCATATCCATACGTCTATAATTAAATATTCTGAGGCTTTCATCGTAAGAATAGTGTCTGAGAATAAGGTCATAAGGCGATAACCTAACCACACATGGGGTGACAAAAGTAGTCAACAATCTGGGTTGTATTGTGTTCTCTGAGCTAGGTTGTTTAATCGTGAAGCTTGGATCGTCTTACTTGACGACATCATCAACACTAATTTCAGTATGAAATGAGCTGTCGATTTCTCCCCATGAGTGATTTAGTGGCTTGCTCTGACGATGTGGTCTGTGATTGGTTGTTTCCCTTGATTGTTGTATCCTTGACTGTATAGATTTTCTTGGTGCTTGTCCCTCTGCTTGACCTTTGACCTTTTTGTCGTTTATCATCTTTCTCATTGGTTGACTGGTTTGGTCTATGTTTATACATCTGTTGGGCAATTTTTGAAGCAAAATTAACCACCCATAACTATACCATTTGGTCGTTTAAGTGTGACATTAAGTTTTGACACCCATATCACTTCTCGTACTTTGATCTTAAAAGTAGTTTATTTTCCCACTTTTCAGAAAAGATTGGGTTTATGTCTACACGTCTATCGACATAGACCCAATCTATCAACCAATAAGAAAGATGATAAGCGACAAAAAGGTCAAAGGTCAAGCAGAGGGACAAGCACCAAGAAAATCTATACAGTCAAGGATACAACAATCAAGGGAAACAACCAATCACAGACCACATCGTCAGAGCAAGCCACTAAATCACTCATGGGGAGAAATCGACAGCTTATTTCATACTGAAATTAGTGTTGATGATGTCGTCAAGTAAGACGATCCAAGCTTCACGATTAAACAACCTAGCTCAGAGAACACAATACAACCAAGACCATCCACCCGAGCCACAAATATTCTCCCGTAGTCAACAATGTGAGGAATTCGACAAGATGACAGCTGTTTCTAGATTTGAAGAGGAATTATTTATATAAGGAACCTGGAGGGATTCCTGACAATCCCCTACTTCTTACTTCGTAACAAATTAATATTACTTCTTAGACAACTGTCGACATATTCGACGCTTGACTTTGTGCTTACTAAATTAGAATTTCAGTAAGCGAAGCTATAATAAGTGAGGAAAGACTATGATGCAAAACAGAAGCATGCGTCGTGGAAAGCTGTGTACACCAGTATGTTTAGTATACAGTTGAAAATCCTGCACGTTTTGGTTAAATGTCCATTAGTCACTACTGATAAGACGTGACAGAAAGTAATACAATCCAATTTATCTCCTTCCAGCTATCAGTTTTAACTTTCAAACAGCTTGCAAATATGTACAGCAGGGAAATTTTCAATTCTTTAGGTTTACTCTTTTATTCAATCTCTAAGCTAACTTTCTGTTTACTGACTAAATTACAGCAGTTTATTTAAATATACAGAATCCCGCGACTTCATTTTTGCTGAACGCTGATAACTACTATTTTATACTCGTGCAAAAAGTATTCTAGCGGTCTGCTTTTAAATATTACGTTTCAGAGGTACGGAGATATCTACCAGACCTATGTAACAAAATAAGATGAATAAGGTTTCATCGAATTTTCCTTGCCTCACGTTACTATAGGTCATACATACTAGTTATGAAAGAAAAGAATGGATTTAAATGAAAAACATTAGGTTATCACCATAATTAAATGACTTTAAAGTCTACTTTTCAGTTCGAGTTTGTCAAACGTTTTGCCAACAATAGTATAAGATTTTTAAGGGCTTCGCAGCTGGTATCGAAACTCTACAGCTGAACATTTTAAATATTAGTTCAGTGAAAAAATTGTCACCAATGAATTTTTCGCCATCAGAGTTATTTTGATCCCCATGACTAATATTTTTGTTTAAAATCACTTCATCTTTATGCTGTAGTGCATTGAGCTAGGCTAATTTCTAAAATATCCAGTCTGAAAAAATCCATCACTTGATATTTGAATAGTTTCCTGTACTCCAACTAGCCGAATAGCTTTTGTTACTCACAATCAGGATGCATGACAAACAGAACTATGCCACGTAACCAATTAAGTGTTACTGGGATTATTCACATGTTTCAAATTAGATATTTTCTTTGAATTACTGACCTATATAAGTATTATGCACAAATATGCAGAAGGAAGTGAAGATGGATTGAGCATACACTAAGAAGAACATTCAAGGATATCACGCTCCAGGTCAGACACTCGAGTGGAACCCAGATATGAAACCCAGATGTGAGTTGGGTGTCCGAGGTGATGGTGACACAGAGGAGATGTTGTGAGGAAGAAATGAGAGTTAGTGGGTAGTGGTGGAGCGAGGTTTAAAAGATTGTTGATAAGAGAGTGGAATGGAGACGTGCTACTGGATGCTTGTTTTCCACTAGGAACCCAAGTGACAAATAATAATATATATAAATGAGCAATTTGTATACCATTCAGAGTCATCTTATGAATGTTACCAGTGAAAACGTTATAGAAAATAATCCTCCATTCCAGCTGTGTATACTATTTGGCAAAATTAATCAAAGTTCTGCGGAACACCATTCTATTGAAAGCAATTACGATGTACATTCTTTTTCATCCAACAGACTACGGATCTGATGCCAATAATTGCAACTATTTATCTTTAAAACGTGTACTAATATTAGATCTCATTTACGAGAAGTGCGTGATTAAGGCATCCATAACCCAGAAGAAAAAGGCATGTTCTCAGAACAATTGTTCTTACATCTACAAATCCTAATTGGAGTGACAACAACCAATATTTTAGATGCGGAGGATAAAAGCTTCAAACTGTAAGGCAGGACAACATCTCTGTAGTAAAGAGAAGAATAGTAGAATGAAGATAAGGACTGATGGATAAATCAGTGGTTGATATTTTCAAAAAAGGCATTCAAGAATCTTTCCTGAAAAGTGTAAAAACAAACTACGCTTAAGATAGAAATGCGAGAAGTAATATGGGTTTCAGAAGTTAATGTCACACTTAAACGACTAAATTGGTATAGTTATGGGTGGTTAATTTTACTTCAAAAATCACCCAACAAAC